CCTCAGGCTGTTCATCTAACCCGTCCATACAATCCACCACATCGTCCATTATCCAAGAAACTGGTATTCCGAACTTCATACTTATTTTAAAGCTAAACTTACGGACACATGGAAATGTATTCGTCATGTATTCGCATGTGTCATGATATTCGTCACTTCCATCAGTACAATCCCACACTCCGTCACACATTCTGTGTTTGTGTAGTCTGCAATCAGTTGAAGTAGACGGTGATATACAACTGTTTTGAATGTCATCGTCACATAACTTTACTGGTAAACTAGCCCTTTCATCATAAGCATAACACAACATGTACTTAGAAACACTCGAGTTATACCCATCAATATCACAATACCCCCCTACTCGCCAGGGACAAAAGGATTTCGCGGCGATTTTGGCCAAAAATCGCGATACCGCGAAATACATTTCGCGGTATATTAAACTATACATAAAATTTGTCGCGGAGAATGGGAAATTTCGCGGTTTCGTACATGCCGCGAAATCCTTTTGTCCCTGCTACTCGCTCTATATCAGGACAGTTAGTCTGATCTAAATAGTTCTGACAGTATGGATATGTCCCCCTCTTAATATCGAATACTGAGCACCTAGTATAATTAAATATAGGTACTGTTCTGGTTTTGTTATAAACCACTTTACTTTTGTATTGTGTACACGTGTGTGGGGTAGTTTCAGTTACTTTACAGTCCTGTTCATCTTCTCCTTTATCACAGGACCTGTATTCGTCACATATATACCTTACAGGAACATACACCTTCCTCCCCCAATTACCTATGCAGTTAACTCCGTATGTATACCCGTTACAATTACTTTCATCTATACAATATCGAGTGTCACATTTATCATTGCATACCTCTGCTGTTGAGCCGTCACTACTCTGTGATACTGAACAATCATTATCTACACTACAGTTTTGATCACATTTGATATGTTTGTGATTGCAAAACAAACCTCCACACAGCACATCCGTGTTTGTTATTTTTGTGTAAAATCCACATGCCTGATACACGTGGGGATCGTTCCTACACACTGAAGTTACCCTGTCAAACACATATTCAAAGTACACATCAGAGTGGGCACACTTGAAAAAGTGTCGTTTCTTCGTTTCATTGAAACACACATTTTTAAGAAACCCATTTGCTGTTGTTACTGTACAATTTTCTCCTGATTTTCTTAGTTCGCTCACTATACTGTAGTCTACACTGTAACACTGTAAAAACACATCTTCACTGTGACCACAATTTCCCGATAATCTAAATGTACACGAACTCCATTCACCGCTGCTGCATGAAACGTCGTCCAGGGTAATATAATAATTTGACTGGATGTCCCACTTACTACCGGATGTCCAACTCATTTGACCATTGTATCCCATTTCACGACAAATAGCATCAGCTGAGTAATCAGTGAAATAATCGTCACAAACTGTTCCTCCATCGCTGATTAGTAACCCAAGAATTCCAGCGCCAACAGTATCACCATTAGAGTCCACCAGACTAAAATCTGGGATTTGAATTCGTTAAAAATAGCCAACTCTAAACATTTGATAAATAATTTACGCTGTTTTGAGAAATTTAATCGAGATAATCATAAGTTTTCCTCGGGAGAGTGGGGATGAATAATATTAGCAAATCTTAAAAGGAAAGGATATTTCAACCTGGACACTTCCGGTTATCTTTTATGCAAGGTCGACTTTCAGACACTTCCCCAACACAATCTGCACCACCATAAGTAGCTGGACCAGGGTTAGTACAAGTCCTTGTTCTTGTTTGAGAACCTTCTCCACAAAAAGCTGAACAGTCTGACCACTCTCCATAATCTGGGATTTGGGCATTTGAACTTTTGAAGGTGATTTGATCCTAATATAAATCCTAATTGGGCCCAAATATGGGCGCGGCTGCACCACGGGCACCGATCGTGGTGGGCAGTTGGGGTCCGGAACCCCCTCAAAATTTTAGTCACGGGTCCTAGTTTGTTGGTCAGAATTAAGTTTCACAAAAATTTTAGGCTAGACACCGGGACACCCCCCGGCCCCCCGTACACGGGGTCATCATAAAAAAATGCTCTGACTCTGATTCACAAGATAACTTACATGCCCATGCCTGGCCTTTTGCCGTCGTTCATAAAAGACTTATTCCCTTCCAATATATCAAAGTATGGCACGTCTTATGACGACAATATCAACTGGCTAACAACGTACTCTCATCCGGATCTACGCGCTAGTGTTTTCTATAAAGGTCCTATTATATTAGCTATTACCGAGCTCAAAATTAGTCGCATAACTTGTCCATCTAGTATTTTCTCAATAAGCATTTATAATAAATCAACAAAGCGTGTAATAGAACTGCAAAGCTCAGGAAACAATGAAGAATGGCCACTTTTTCTGTTACATAATTACCCGGGCTACGTAAATAAACGAGATCAGGCACACAACTAATCAACTACCGAGAATTACCTGAGGAATAAGTAAAATTAGACGATTAGCACACTAGTCACTATCAACCATATGCCACATTTTTTCACTGCCCGCCCATTCACATTTCACTGTCATGATAGCACTAGCAGGTGCTGATAAGACATGGGCTCATTTACTTTTATTTATTTTAACTATGGTTCAAACAGAGCACTATACAGATCACTATACTGTCGACGCTGCCCTGCCCACTATACTAATCGTTAATCACCAACACAAGTAGCTGTTAAAACAGTTCTTGTGATCATCTGTCAGTCTGTCGTATCAAATCAAATTATTTTTCACCATGTTTTTAATAAATCATGATATGCAAGTTTTAATTTTAAAGTCTTTGGTTTAAAAAAAAATAAATAATGGTTAAATTTTGACACACCATATTGCCAGATCCCAGTTCAGTTTCTAACGGAGTTTTATATTAACAGGAAACGATGTAACAGAGTCGATATATTTTAATGTTGCTATAGTGATACTATGGGGTGGCAAGTCCCCATGGCCATGCATCGTGGTCCGATAGTTTCAATTTTCATTGTGTCTTAATATATTACGTACTATGCATCAATCAACACTATTGCAACCATGCAGTTGCACCGGTCACATAAATTATTATGTGGCAGTAATTTGTCAACATTGGCACAATTATAACATCTCAACATGGTAAAAATATGTCTAATTCGTCACAAAACAAATTATAACTCTATTTGCTCCTTGTTGGCAAAATAACTAGTTTATTGACATAGGTATTATGATAAAGTAACATTATATTCTACAGAGGTATGATCTTCTTCAAAATAGGTGCAAGAAATGTAAATTTCGTCACACAAGTTATTGTAACAGTTAAATACATTTTCTTTCACATCAAACTGTCCTTATTATAGTTTCAATTGATTTATACAGGAAATATAGAAACCCATGCCAATTTTTATTACATTGAATTTTTTTCCCTACTCTTGCCGAAGGCAAAAAGATCGTAGGGAATAAGTAATCGGGTTTGGATATATGAGGTGGCCCGATGGACCTGCGATGACGACAAAAGTCTGCTCCTTCGCAATATAGACCACTCCCCTATAATTAAGTGTATAGGAAGCGTCTGTTATGCTGCGCGCAACGCTAGCCATGTGTTAATTAATTGCAGTGAAATTCCTCCTTCGCAAAGTTATTTTCCGCAATTTTCTGGATTCATTTATTGTTGATGCGCGGCGCTGCATTGGTCAAATAAATCGTCAATTTTTACCATGCACGAATCCCACTTATTTATAAAAAACATAGTATGTAAATATGGTGCACTTTTTTTCCAGTCACACTTTTCACTCAAAAGAATTAATGGTACATGG